TGCCGAGGTTAAAGCAATAGAGAAGTGGAAGCCATCATCTGTATTTTCAGTCAATTTTGTGTTCATGCTCTTTGGAATATCGGGAACATGATCAGATCGCAGGTCAATAGTAGTAAACATTCACAACACACCCGTGCTACACATATTGAAATTACGCATGATTAGATCCAGTAGGAAAGGAGTTACGACTGAAAAGTACGGCTGAAATACCATTACACCGAAGACGTTTGAGCGCTACTGTAAGTTCTATCAAGCCGTCAAAGTAGTCAAGAGAATCAAAGAAAATTATCACGATAGATATGTTTAATAGATATTTCCTGTCTAGTGAGTCTACTGAGCACCAAACATTAACCTTTTACATCTGGGAAGTGATGCCCTGCAGAACAAAGAGAAATCAGGTTGGTGCGGGGCATATACATATGTATCAAGTCATAGAATCATCCGGTTTTCGAGGCAATAGATTTCGAGGGTCACGTCAAAAGACCACAAGGAGTCCCGAACAAGAGGTGGCGAGACGCGATCAAGAAGGACCTCTTCGAGGCTAAAATAAGTCAAAGGCAGAACATGTCAAAGGAAGCGGAGGCAGTCAACAAGAATAGCTAACACCGCGGCGGCGCACACAGGGATGAATGGGAAGAAGTGAAGTTTGATCACTGGGGCAAGCATCACATTCTCTAACGCTCTGAGATCTGTTTATTTTTGTTTCCATTAGTCAGCTCGTTGGATCTTCGAAGCTTAGCCTACATTTAGTGGTTTATTGGTGTTTGTATAATAACAGCAATGTGTGAAACAAATTCTTCAAACAAATTCATCGCAACCAGTTGCCAATGCCAGTTCGGCAAAATATGTGAGTGACGGGTCATAGGGAAAATTTTCTAAGAACGGTGCAAAAAATTGAGTGGAATAAAGGAGCAAATTTTGACTGAGCATCGTAGCGATCGGTTTAACCCATGAAAAAGCTGAACCCCTCATTGGAAAGAAGTGATCTTGCGCTACGATCGCTAGTTTAGTGCTCTGCCAAAAAGGTTTCGTAACAATTTATGTAGATGGTCTTGGTGAGGGCAGGCTTTGTCTGTAGGTTCCATTGAGCATAGCCAAATGAATGAGTTGTTCACGCTTCAGTGAATCAAATTCCGGAGTGAACATATCAGAAATACGTTTCTTCGCTTTCTCAATCAAATTACGGCACCTGAATCAGTAGTAGTCATTTGCATATCTACCCAGCATTATCCAGCTAGAGCTAGAACTCACTCAACGCGTGATGAGCCCTTGGCTTCAACGAGCACATGTGTATCCTCCCTGAGATGACCAAAACCGGGTTTGTGACGCATTTTACGGTACAATTTACTGTCCTGGAAAGAAAGGCATGAATATTTGAGCATGATCCTCTCCCCTATTGTGAGCTTGCCTTGATGCTCCCTCTGCCACGTACAGCGATATGACATCGGGTCTCCAATTGTAGCTCTCTAATCGTTATTCCATTTGGTCCAATTAGTCTTCCAATATAGCTGCATTTCACTCCACTGGAATGCTTCTTTACAGTATGGTCGTATTCACTATTTCTAATCTTCCCCCACTCCAGATCACCCTATCAATGCACGCATGTTAGTGGGTATCGACTTTACGCTCCTGATTACGATCCCACTTCATGCCTACATATTAGTAAGGGAGGACGGTGTGGTGAAGTGAGCTGAATGTTCGATGAAAATGTACGCTGGCGGTGACGGAATGTAGACTTTCACAGACATGGTGATATCGTTGCCATCCATTTTCTCCTAAATGCGAAGTGGTATTAACCTAGATGGTAGATGGCATAGAGCTAAAAATCTGGGCCATCTCTGCCCTAGAAATTCATCTGAAATCGTCACTTAGAAGTTGTAGGCCTAATTAGAATGGTTGCTTTGAGTTGCACTAATGTCGCTCACTATGTTGTGGCTGACCAGAGCTTAGTAATGACGTCAAGACGTCGAGAGCAAATGAGTTATCTTTGGGATACTATTATAGACCCATATGGGTGATAGTGATCTCGACTGTTCCAAATCAGGCAACCATTCTTACTGAATTGTCTCGCTGCGCGATTTGCTTCACGATTCCACACCGATCTATCCACTTTCACATGCTCCTGGTTGCTGAGCGGCCTACCGCACGACTCTATGTGATCGTGGTTGGGCTGTTAGTTCGGAGCAACACTCCCGACACCAGCAATGTAGGATCAATGGAGCGGACTAGCTCTCATGCCAGGCCAACGCTCAGCAAACTTTCCGATAAAGAGTACTGTTCAGGTGTCCGCGTATAAGAATGGAACCCGAACACGAGACTTATCCACGAGAAATTAGTGAGGACTCAGTGGTTTTGCATCCCTAAGGCTTACCGTAATTTTCGACGTTCGCACTGTCGGCGCTTCATGGGTCGGCACTTGTGCGGCAGTGGTAGTGGGCGAAGTTTTGAAGAGTCCGGATTCGGTTTCATGTTGTGAAACCAGATTGTTCAGATTCTGTCCGATACGCATGTTTTGCATTAATTGTGTGAGATATGAAAATTGTTGATTACTGCCACATGTTTCACAATGTCTTGGGCAAGGTGCGTTAGTTGAAGAATGATAATCGGGCTGCAATAAAGTGGATATTGGCGGTACTGGTGATGATGGTAGTAGGGATCGAGATGATGCCTCCACTTGTGCTGTATGCACATTTTGATGTAGCGTATTACGTCGTTGAAGAACTTCACGAATTTGATAAAGCAGACGGAGATGCTGGGAATTTTCTACAGGAATAGCAGACTCGTCAAATTCTTCGTGTTGATGAAGCGTATTGCGTTGTACGGCCATACCAAGTAGTTGAATTACTACGCTCTGAAATCGTTTAGTCTCACTTACACCAACTGCACAGGCTGAACTACCATCTCAACTTACAGCTGCTAGACGCTCCAGGATAGGGTTACGGTCAAACATGCTGCTGATGAACTGCAGTTGAGCTCTGAAATGTGATTCGATAAGTTTCTCAAAGACCAATGCGGTGGAGTACTAAAGTCAACTGACCCATCACCAGCTGTCTTAGCAAGCTGAGCAGCCGGCGGTTCAGTAAGCTCCATGACGAGGAATTCGAGAACAAGTTGATCAGCAAGCGTAGCAGCGCTTTCTGTAGCCCTGCCGATTCCTTGACGAGTCAGCTCCGCACGCTCCGTCGCTTGACGTCCAGCAGCCAGACGAGGCTCCATCGCGAAGAATTAGTGACTAGTATGATGGCAGTAATGGCACCTACACCTTACTCACTTCTTATATACCCGGTTTTATCATGTGGTGCCGATATCACGGCAAATATTTATTGGAAATGTTCTGCGAAAATATTTTCCTCTCAGCCGAATCTCCTCAACAATTTCATTTGTAAATTTGCGAAAGCTTTGCGGTCACGTATCGCCTTTTTTGGGCGACACTTATTCATTCTCAAACATAAGCGATATTTTTACTTGCTGGGCTAGATGGTATACATTTTGTTATGTACAGGGAGTGACCTTATGAAATCTTCCATCTGACAAACATCTCACATTTGGTTCCACGAGTTATCGAGAGTAAAGATGACCAAATGTTCCGAACAACCTAGTACAAGACAAGGAAGAAAGGTAAAATCTTTATGGAAATGAAACGACATTGGAAATTGTTTCCATCCATTTCTTTCCTGAGTGACGGAAGTTGGTCATTGTCCAGGAGCCAAATGGGCGCCACCGATAACGCTTGACACCGTTGGAATGTCCTTCACACATTTCGGTTCTGGATCAGCTACACATTTGTGCGATGGTGGACATACCAAGGCGTCACAGGCTAAAATAAATAATTATTAAGAGAAAATAGTAAACCATCATTCAACTCAGCGAGTTATCGCTTCCTTTAGTAAAGCTAAAGGGTTTGGGGTTACGGAGCAATCTTTCTCTTCCCTTCATGAGCTGTTTGGGAAAGCTCACTAAGAGATGTGGTTTTGCAAATTACCCACCGAATTTCAGGGCAAAAAAAGATATCAAAACTACCTTATTAAGAGATCGGAGCCTGTTCAAAAGCTCATTTGTCGAGCTCTTCTTGAAAGACTAAAACGTTTTCACCTGAATCGCATTACTGGGTGGAGACGTCGCACGAAAATCAGCCCATGCGCAATCGAAAGCAAATTCAGTCCTGAGGTGCATAGTAGCTACTTGCTTACATTGCGACGCGTAGTAGCAGCAAACTCGTCCAAACGTCCTTTTTTCGTTGATGACTATGTTCTTCTTAAAGTTCAGTTCACGATAGACTTGGCTTATGAGATATCCCGCTGGATAAATCTGTGGTCCCCTCGTATTCTATGAATGGCACTGTTAGGTCAGAAAACGACCTAGATAAGGCGTTTTAAGTGGTCAGAGATTATCCCGTGTGTAGGCGCTGACGAGTTTCAATGGCATTCAGAGGCTGTATCATTCACAAGGGAACCCACTAGAGCTCAAGCATTTGTCATGGCCCGTATCAACAGTGAAAGCAATTCTGAAGAGTTTTGACTAGATATCCAGCTCTGCGCAGTTGCAACATTAGAAATCTAGTCCAAGAACCCCCTCCATGTCATTCCTGTCATGGTAATCTCTACTTTCGTTACTTTTAAGAGCAGCAAATTTCTTCCTTCAGCACCGATGCGCTATTCCCAACCAATACTTTTATAGCTTCCTACAGCTTTACGACTCAAAAGGAGTACCTCGAAGCTAGCCTGAATTGAGTCTTTAAAATAGCAAAAGTCCCTCCTAATCTACCGTCTGGGGAGAGGATTGTTGGACCGAGTTGCGTAATCGCTTTCACTCTTCACATTTCTTACCTTAAGCAGGTAGCAGCAGTGGAGGATATGAATGTCGTCGAGAGCTCCCTATCTATCAATTTCTATCCTGGTTTGTTACACCGTTTTTAGTTTCACAAATAGGAAATAAGTCCGTGGCCTTTCCAGTGAGGATGTGCATGTTATGGTGGATCTAGGTGGGGAGGTTAAGCCTAACTGGATGGCATACCATGACGACTAAGACATAGTAGGTGATCAAGCAACTAGCTCAGAATCGTCACGCTTTACAAGCGGACCGATACTGCCACCGTATACCTTTATATGTATCAGCTTTCCTTATTGAGGGAACGTTTTATTGCAACTCCAAGCTCGGGGAGCCGCTCAGGGAGCCTTTTTTAACATTTCAAGGGAATTTTCGCAACTTACTTCCAGGTTTTGCGCAAGATGGAATTTTCTTGCAGGATTTCCCTATACATGGTTGGACTCGCTCGACACATATCTCGCCACTCGGGCATGAATGCCCAGCGCATCCTGGAAAACGATATTTGTTATGAAAAGGGATAAGGAAAGAAGTTAGATGGAGAATGATGTGAGTTCGAAAAGATTTCACCTAATCATTTTATCTAGTGTACTCTTCTGTGAAGGTCAAGCTAACTAACTACGAAGTGCTAGCGACCTGACATTGAGAGAAACTCCTAAACAGAAGAAACAGGAACCTCGTATGTTAGTAGAATTGCGAGATTGTACCTATTCTTTCGAAATCTCTGAATCCTATTTTGAGCCGGGGCGACCTATTTGCATATATTATTTGTCGCACGTGCATACTGATTATCTTCTTCATTCTCCTCTTTAATGGGTTACCTATCTTGGGCTCTGAAATATTGGAGTACCCTCCGATGTCAAGACAAACCTCAGTCTTCTTTGACATCCACTCACAGAAATTATAGCGAAATTGTTATGCCAATATGTGCAAATGTTCAAAGAAGGTGCAAAAATGAACGAAAAAAGCTCCAGACAAGGAAAATGCTCACCATTGTACTGATCTGGTATGCAGAGTAGGATTGGACGGCAAGGTGGAGTTTTGCATGGTCCTTTTCTTTCGCTACAAAATGATCCAGGTGGACAAAAGTGATTAACACAGTCTGAAAGGTGAAGTGCTCCTTAGTGAAGGAAAGAAAATGATGGAGCTATTACAATGATCATTATCTGTTTAGAAATATTCTTCTTTGAATAATCTAGCTCTAATGTTTTTGCACTGTCTCGTTTCATACTTTTACTACACTCATGAAGGCACAGTAAATCTAAATATTCACCCAGTTTTGGTAAAGTTATAAAGGAATCACCAAGTATTATAGCTCAGTTAGTAAAGGCGCAAGCCTGGGTTTATATTTTAGATCGAATTTTTCTTGATATAAAAAATTACTGGCTGAGGTGATTCAGATGACTTCTCAAAACACGTATGTATTAGACAAAATTTGCCCTGAAGTTGCTCGAAATCTCTAATAACAAAGGCACTTATATTACTTACAATTAAAAAGATTATGTTGCCAATGAGAAAAAATTGCGTCTCAGTTCATCCCAGAAACGTACAAGATCTGAAGGCGCAATTCACGATAAAAATGGTTTCTGAGATTTCCCGCTAAAATGAATCTGTGCTCTCGAGAATAAGACATGGGACGTTATCGTGCCGGAAAAAGGCCTAGAAAGGGTGTAATTAGGGCTAAAAAATTGGTTTGATCGACGCAGGCGCTCGAAGTGGCCGTGTTGTACTGGCATACTTATTACTACACTATACACTTGACGAGACAATTATGTACTACGCTTATGTGGGAGACACACAGACGGTCATCTCGTACAACCTCCTTTTCCGCTACTTTCTTGAAGTTTTATATTCTTAGGATCCATTCATTTTTGTGCTTTCTTCCGCAGCCCTGCACTTCTCTGTACCGTGACTTTCACTATTTTACTTAATATAGATTCTTCAAATTTATCGTGAGCTGTGCCTTTAGTAGTAGAAGTTATCCTCGAATAGCTCGAAAGCGTGGTCGACTATAATTTCTAGGTTAGTTTTTCAACTTTAATGACAAAGTTGTTGTGGCAGAATAGTGCATAGGTGGCAAAGAAAGTCGAAAACATGTAAAATATATTATGTAAGTGATCTTGAAACCAGTTGAAGTAGGAGGTGCTATGAAAACTTGACAGTAGAACTGTTATAGAAATTTGGAGGAGATTCCAGACGTTATCACCATGGAGCAAGCGAGCGTTATCGTCAACTGTTGGAATTTTACTGTATACTGTCCATTGCGAATCACTTGCTACGAGGCCACTTTCGACCAGGTAATGGCCCATGTGGTAAGGGGCAATTCGTCCCTGTCGGAAATTTCAGAAATTATTATGTTTTGGCTTGTGCCTTAAAGGTTTCGAACTAAGTTTCAGTGCGTGGCGCACTCTAAGCTCCCATTTGCTTCGGTTGTTGGCTGAGAATAACACTAAATTATCATCCTTTAAAGTAACATGCAAGTCTTCTATTGATAGTCTCTTATTGATAAAAAAGGCCTAAAATGTTTAAAAATCGGACCTAAAGTTCAAGCATGAGTTCGAATTTCCCATGAAACTCGATCTCATAACCTTGATCCGATGCTAGAAATCAACTTGTTTTTATAAATTGTTTAGGTTGACAATAATTTCTTAAAAGCATACCGTCACACTGAGAAACGATAGTTAAAGCAGATGAAATGCAGAAAAACAGCCAGTGATGCATGTTTGGCCGGCGAAAGTGACACACGTGCCCTTTGTAGTAAGCTAACCATCCGGTTCCTATCGTCTATCATGTCTCGGTGACGGACGGTAGTGTATTTCCCAACCCCCTCCACCCCCTTGTTCCCTCAATACGCCATTTAGGAAGCCCAAGATAGCTAGAAATCTTATTTTCACATGCGTGCTGAAATTTAAAAAGGCATGCGGAAGGAAAATTAAAAAGGTTTTGTAGTTGAACTGCTTTTCGCTTCACGCGTGGTACCGCCCATTATTGGTAGAGATTTTTGCCTCCACTTTTGTAGGCAT